GAGTTGGAAAAAGCAGATTTTTGCGAATTCAAATTCGTCGTATTTCTCCAAGGCCAGAACAACCCTCCAAGCCCACTCAACGAGCCGAGACCTGTGGGTTTAGGCGCACGTTCTTTGACTTCTTTGATTGTCTGTATGGGACCAGAAGTTTCTTCGTCGATCGACGCTGCTGCTTCCGCCTTAGTCTCGCTCGCTAGTAAAATTGGAGATGTGTGAGGAGGTATACTATACTCTGCAGGAAGAGCAACGTGTGACTCGGAGTTGTATGCGTGGTCTGGCGTTGTATCAGAGATAGTAGGATTAGCGGCAACATCAATGACCGAGGCTGGTATATCTGAAGTGACGGAACTACTCGTTGCGTTTGGATTTGAAGCAGGCGGTGATACTGAAGCTTTCGGTATTACAGTCGAAGATCCTGGAGCTATATATTCATTTTCATCAGTATACGAATGAATCATCAGAAATAGAAATTGAATGGTGAAAAAAAAACATAAATCCACCCAATAAACGCACCTTCAATAATCTCTACTTCCTTAAACCCAATTCTCCAATTTCTTCCTCCACAATTATCCCACCACTCTCCACCAGCATTACCAACAACGAACTTTCCAACAAACTCAACAATCCTTCCAGGTCTCAGGGCTGGCGCCGGTGGAAGGTTTATCCTGAACGTAAACCGATCCCATTCGGAGGAATTTTCATCCACTGTATATGTATAATCGGGAACAACAATCAAGTCTCCCAAAGTGCGAGGAACATTAATTCCAAAACTAGATTTGGAACCAAGAGAGATAAGACGAGATCTCCCACAAGAATCAACCCATTTCCCTCGAACTTCGTTTACCGTGGACCAATCATCCGTTGTGAACCGGACAAAGACATTTTTCTCGAATGTGATATTTCGCACGAGGAAGGTGCCTTCGAGGGCGAAAGGCTCCGAAGAGGAGTTTTCGAGATGAAGTTCTTCCAGGAAGATATTGACCGAACCAGATAAAGCATCTCGAACTGACTCCGGTCGAGGAACATGACATACAGAAGAAGGCACGTCAAGTTCTACCTTTACTTTCTTCGTTAACCTCTTATCACTATTTCCCACCTGCTCCTTTTCTTCTTCCTTTCTTGCAAATCGAGGACCAGTTCCAGTGTTTCGTATACGAATACGTCCTCCTGAGCTAGAAGAACTGCTACTGCTTTCGCCGCCATCTTCATCTTTACCTCCTGCACTGCGTGTACGGCCGAGCCTAGGTAATCGAGGAAACGGGAAAGCACCAGTAGAAATAGTGGGTTGATCTGACGAGACCTTCATTGAAGAAGACTCGTTCGACCTGGATGAGGCAGCAGCATCCCATAGCCCTCGTCCACCCCAAGTACCCCAATATCCAGCATTATACCCATACCCATACTCCCTATCAGTTTCAGTTTCAGTCTCGGTCTCCTCTCCGCCACTCTTAGCGTCAGTTCCACTTCCCTCTGCACCATCAGCACCATTCGAAAGATTAGAAACATGATTAAGACTGGACGTAATCTGATCGCGTTCTTTACGAGTTACCAATAAACTTGATGGGCGCGCTTCCTTCCGGAACACTCGAATTCGCTCAAGGTCAGTTGGGAGAGAAGGAAAATGCACACTACGTGGTGAAAGAAGTGCATCTGGTGGCATAGGTTCCGATACACCAGGAGACAACGGTGCCTCAGACGTAGGTGATATGGGTGCTGTCCAAGTTGATTCAAGTACTTCTTCTATTCCTTGACCAGGTGTCGTCGGAGGAGAAGGAGCAGATTGTGCTCGGACATGTCCGTTGAAAGACGGGGGTGCCAATAATTTTGCCGTTGAGTCGGTGTTAAAATTTGCAAAAGAAGCGAACGAGGGAGCAGATGGGCCAGCAATTCCAGGACTCGTAATTGGAGAGGTCACCGTGGAATTAGCTGGAGAGCTCCTAACAGAATTCACTGGTGATATTGAAGGAGAGTTCGCAGCAGAGCCCATGGGTGAATTCAGAAGGGAAGATACACGAGAACCTTTCAAAGAACTTCGTAGAGGCTTTCCTGTAGAAAGTAGTATAACCGCAGGGGACGCCGCGGGAGTAGACGGTGCCTCAAGAGTGATCATCGCAGGCGAAGACGTTGTACGTGTCGGCGCCGATGACCTGGTCATCGTTACATTTGCAGGATTTGGTATGGACATAGGACCCATCCGCACTGGAGAATCTGCCGAAGATTTCGGGAATGGCACGCCTTCGGAAAAAGACGGCAAGACTTGAACTTTGAACTTGAGAGGCGGCAAGTTTTGTTGATGTTCGTCGTCATTCTCATTGTCATCGTCGCTGCTACTGCTCTCACGCCTGTCGCCTATACGGAATTTGGATGTACTGTTGAGAGTAAGAGTAGTACCACTGGAATGTCTTCGAGGTAAAGATCCAAGACTGCCCCATGCTCCACGTGTACCGTTCTTTCCGTCGATGCTCTGTTCGTTACTGAATCTCGTAGAGGCCGTGCCAGTCAAAGAAGACTTTGACAAGGTACTGGTAGTGGATTGTTGAGAGCTTGAATCAGACCCGTAATGAGCTTGGCTCGAATACGACCGTCTGTGTCCCGGACGACCAAGTGAGTGAGTAGAAGTGCTGTGATTTTGAATCTGGTGCGAGTGAGAGTGATATGAACGAGAAGGTGAAGAAGAGCGCGATGGCTGTGAATAAGGCATTCTAATCTTTAATGCAAAGGCCCTGCAGAGAGTTGAACGAGAACAAAGTGTGAGTTGAAGAAATACGTACGTCGAAAAACCGACAAGTTGAGAGCAAGAGAAAAAGGGGCAACTTGATTGAAATGTGCAGGTATGGCGGTGGTGTGACCTTGAAATGAAAGAAGAGATGAATATCTACCACGCCAAACTGATTCAGACCCAGATTTCAGTGGTTGTTATCTGCGCCAAAGAGACTAAGAAACGTACGCTGCTGTTATTTCCTGACAAAACTTCCCGTATATGTCGCGTAGAACACGAAGAGATCGGAAAGCTGTTGAGCTCTCTCTCGTTGAACTGCGAGGCAGGCAGTCAATAATTTGCAGAGATGTGCATGAACGGAAAATGATCGAATAGTGTAGGAGCTGCCAGTCAGCCCCGACTTGAAAGAACAGGCGATGAAGGGAAGGGAAAAAGAAAGATTTAAAAAAGTGTGGGCGATTCCAAGCAATAACGAAGAATACCTAACCAAGCCAGGGAACACGACATGTTTAGCAAGAGTTTACCGAGGACCAACTCACCCTGTCTCAATCAGAAAGTTGTGCTTCTTCCGAGCGTCGTTGTTGAACCGTAATTTGCCGTTACTGAGAGAATTACAGTTGAATACCGAAAGCTTGGTAAAGATATATCCTTTTTCTTTTTTCTTGATTCCCTCTCAAAAGCCGTCCAACACCGTTTCAGCGCACCGAGTACCGAATAAGTTGGAGAAATGTTTTGTCGTAAAGCAAGATGAAAAAAGAGAAATTGAAAGAAAGAAATTGAAGAAAGAAAATTTCTTCGCCATGAGTAAATCAAGTTGAACAAATGGGGAAAATTGTAATACATGACTTCCGGCTGTGGGAAAAACGCGTCATGAAAGAAAAGTAGATATCAAAATCCTGTCAGAAGGATAAAATATTCCAACTCCACTCAACGTTCTTTGGGTTCCTCATGCCCAACCTAGCTGACAACTATTTCTCAATAAAATCCATGGCCTACAACCCCCGCGGCGGAACTAGCCCTTGGCTTCAACGTCGTTCTTTCAGCATCCAGCCTGCTACATATATGTATCAATGCTCAACATCTTCTCAGACCCTTTTTCCTGCCCCCTTTCTAATTTTCTATTAGCTTTCTCCGTTGGTACAATAGCAGAACCCCAAGTAGAACACTCGAGAGATTTTTCTGATAACCGAATTCTTCAGGAATTGCGAAATATGACAAGCAGAAGGTTTCAGGAATATTCATTCCGATTCATCCGAGTCTGCGCAGGCCACCACACGAAAGTTTATCTATCTATATATTCTGGCATCTGCCACTGGTAAGTAATTTTTTTAGATGAAGGATATGGGTCATGGAACTATCAAGGTCAACGGGAAGTACCCGAGATAAATTCTTTTGGAGTCGGAGAGGCTCGGAAATGAAAAGCCTCAGAAACAAGAACGTGCCAAGTACATATATAATCCTGCGCTTTATGATACGCCCAGGCGGCGATGAGGGAATTAAGTATATGTATCAAAGGACGAATAAATAGATAACCTGAGACGATAACAATATATAACTCGTTGTGGACTACAGTGTACAAGCACATGGTATAATAATGAAGAAATCTGGGGTACATAATGAACAGAGACTAGAAGAAAGAAGACCTGTGGCTCCAGCTGTGCTATTTTACTATCCTCGCCAGCCCTCGCACTAGAAAGTCTAAACCAGGGAAACAACAGGAAACACGGTGATAAGGTATGATATGATAAGCGCATCTCATTAACGGAGCCGTGTAAGGTAGACAGGGAAATCATAAAAAGGCACCAACATCGCTTAACGAAAACAGGGTGACGAGAAGATCAAATGAAAAACAGACCAGGACGATCTTTGTATGAGCATATGAATACAGATGGGTACTAACAGGACCCCTTGAATATACCGCTCCGATGTACCCTCCGATGTACGCGCTGAAGAAATAATAATAATAATAGAATACCCTAATCCTTATTTATAATCCTTATAATCCTCAAAAGAAGAATCAAATTGCGGCTCTCCGGATACACAAAAGCGACGGATGCGCCTTTCATCAATTCATAAGATCGCATCGATTGAACAGTGTACACTGGCAGTTTACATGTTTCCTGCCCTGACCTCGGTCGTTCTAGATCTGTAACTGCACACTGTGGGTGTCTTGTAGTGCTTGTGGCTAGGCTTATAGGTCTTTTAAGATTCTAGCTAATCAATCGCACTTGATCACACTTAGAATTTATATTTCTACGGATATAAATTATATAAGCTCACCGGCGCTATAGCCAAGTGGTTACGGCGACAGATTCGAATCATCCCTTATCTGTTCCTCTTTGAGGGCGCAGGTTCAAATCCTGCTGGCGTCGTCAGTTTGAATTTGTTTTGTTTTTGTTTTTACCACCCACGCTATATGTGACTCTTAGAGAGAACTTCGAAATGACCAGAGATTATGTACTTTCTGCGGTCTTTATTGCCTGCCTGAACTTCGCTCATAAGTGCGTGGGGTGATGATATTGAAAGCCAAGGGACTTGGAGATTATGTTCGGGAGAAGTGATTTGGATTGTAATAAAAATGTATAAGGAAATACCCACACCCGGAGTCGTTCGAAAAAAAAGGAAATCAAGAAGGAAGGGTGAGTTAAACATGTACACGTTATACGGAGAACAATATGAACGATGTAGCGAGGAACCATTAGTACTAGTAGTTAATATTGATTAACAATATAATCTACCAGATTCTCTATCTCAAAAAAAAAAAAAAACGAAAGATTTTCGAACCAAGTTCATTCAACCCTGCTTGTTTGATCCATCCGTATCCTTCTCCGAACTCTAACTCATACTCTAGGGTAACTCTACCCACTCCTATATCCCTCATTTGAGGAGTTTTATATTTGTAACTCAATGCCTATCTCCAGGAACAATTGCATCAATCGATCTTAATAAATACATACTAAGACGCTCCTATCAGCTTGTCGAAGGAGGGGTGGTGGGGTAATGGTAAGTATGGTTTTATTCATATTATTTATACATCTCCTTCCCTTCCCCCTGACGTTTGTTTTTTTATCCGCCACCTTTATTGCTACTACTACTACTACTACTACTACCGAAATGCGTTGTGTTCAACCACCAAAGGAACCGTAGTGGAATCCTTTCGTCGCCCGTACGCAACATGTCGAAAATTGTCTGTGAATAACCTCCTTTCTGTTAATTCTCCCGACGGCCGTAGTGAGTCTCAGTATTTGATATTCTGTCTCAGAGAAAGCCACCCAACTAGAATATTTATTCGTAAGATGCGATAATAATATAAAGTACTTGTGTATTTCTGGGTGGTGATTAGATCGCTTTCCCCCTTCCTACATACCTTACAGCCATTCGCGTTCCCGCCATGGCATTTATGGTGTTCCCATCCAAAGGAATGCAAGCCTTGAGCTTTCTGATTTATATTCTCGGTAAGTTTCACTCCCCTTTATCGCGTCTTTTTTTTGAGGAAGCGGTTAGCTCATCCCTTTTCGCCATGTCTAGGAGTATCGATTCTGGCACATTGCCTTTCGCGCCGTTTAGCCGCAGAGGACTGGACTTCTTGGAGTTCAATCAGGGAGATGACCTGGGCTCGAGTTTGTATTCTGCTCATATTCTTGGACTCTTGGTTGTTCCTCTTCGCAAGTGAGTGCATGTTCAATTCATTTGCCTAGTTAATAATTATGAGGGTTCAAATAACCATTTTTATAGGTGGCATGCTCACGTTCGGCGTTGGTCTGGAGAGTAAGGAATTAGTTTGTTCACTCGCCATATACCTGTGTGTGGTTTTCTATGCGACATCGAAACTTCTGATTTACTCTTTTTTGGGTTGGTGGTTATTATAATCTTGAGAATCAGTATTCTCACTGAATAATTCCAGTCGAAAAAGTGTACCTTGTCTGGAGCCCTTCGACAGCTAGCCCTCGGCGATTCAAGTCCCCTATTTATCTCAGTTGTCTGGCAATGATCGCGGTATACGGTGGGGTCATCGCCTCGATGTTTGCAGGTATTTTTCGCTCCCATTGTTCTCGTAACAAAATTTATATGTTATTTTACTTTTCCTTTTAGGTAGAATCCACTATCTAAGAGAAGGGGACGGTGTTTGCATCATTGGACTCGAACAATATTCCTCGCTCACTTTGGTGGTGTATGATTTGTACGTTCAAAGTCATGGGGTCGATTTCAGATTTGAACCATCCTATTGACAATATGGTAGACTGATCAACATCGTTTTGACTCTTCTTTTCCTCTGGCCAGTGTTCAGGGTCAATCTAACCAACCCTCGTCTAAAATCGGTGGCTACACGGACTCTCTTAGCCTCCGCTGTTGCACTTACAACGTCGACTGCAAGTCCCCCTGTTTGTTTCTGATCCGCGTTCAAAAAACCACCTGACTATTTTACAGATCAACATGTTGGTTCTGGCATTGGTAATTCGTACTTGCGTTAGTGAAATAAGTTCGCTGGCTGACAAGATATATTCGTCAGCTTCAAGGTCACGAAAACGGATGGGTTTGCTTGGGATCTTGTGGCGCCGACGTAGGTCATTTTTGCTATCTCGACAGCTTTTAGTGGTACCAACAAAATATACAGGTTATCTTCAATGCTCTCGCCGTCTTCTGGGTGACAAAGCGTAGAGGCCAGAGTTACAATTACGCCAGTTCCATTGGTCAAGGTGTCAATAATCCCGTTCGTGAAAGCAGACGTCCTCCAGAAGCTAAAATCGTCGAAAACGCAAATGATATGGTGGTTAGCTCCTCTACGGCGTTCTGGCAGGCCCCTACATACACCGTTGACGCGTCCCATCAGACACCCACTCCGACCCCTCCAACAACTCACAAGGCCAAGTACAATCTAGCGTTCTCGTCAACACCCAGGGAATCGCGTTTCGAGGATATTGAGATGCAATCAACTCAAAAACCTTCGTTGTTCAGATCCATGACAGGGTTATTCCGCAGTGATCTTCATTCTTCAGAACAAGCCCTTCAAGTATGACTTCGCTTTCGGATCTCTAGGTTCCCCGAAGTACTTTACTAACAAAGTTTTCGGTCTTCATAGGTTACCGTCACTACAATAATCACAGATGATGTTGAGGTTGTGAATGAAAATGAAGAATCCGTTGATAGCAAATGAGTAGGAATTATGGCCATTGTATATATGTATTTTTCGCATCTATGTATGTATGAAGTCCCAATTAAGATAAGATGCCCCAGTGAAGAAACCGAATCCGAATGAGTATGCGCTAGATAACTACGTCTACGGTCAGAAATACAGCCAAATACAAGTGACATACAAGTGAGGTGGTCTAAGAGAAAATAAAATGAGCTACAACAAAGGATATGATTGCAAAGATTTACAGAAAAGATTTATGTCCGCATAGATACTAATATGTAGTAGATAGATACTATATTTTAGTAATATTGGTACGCGATACCCAACCTAACACCTATCTTGTAGGGAAGGATACTTTTTGAGGGGAACATTGATAAATTCTTCAACAAGCACGGAAGATAGCATAAGAGTAGTGTAAGTTTTCTCGAATCACGAATTTAGGCCCCTAGGTTCATCCTCCAATCTCCAGACCAAGGTTGCCCTTGGAAATATCAGGAACATGTTCACCCCGATGTTTCCATCCTTGATCGGGAAGCCCAGACGAGGGCATCCCAGCAAAGCACCATTGCTGCACGAACCAGTTATATAACGATTCTGAGTTTGCTTCACCAGGCGGGGTAGAAAGGCTTGACGAAGATGTCGTCTGAGGAGACGAAGATTTGGATTCAGTCGGAGATGAGCCAGGAGGTGTTGTCGCATTCGAAGGGGTAGTAACTATGGAGAGCTGACCCCGAGGTGCAGGCTGTACACTGGCTGCGATTTCTGATTGCGTGTCCGGCGTTAGATTAGATTTCTGCGCAACATCGGGGGATCCTTTCTCCTCGGTTTGAGTTGGGTTGAGCGATGGTGGGGAAACACCAGGAGCAACGTAGTTTGATAAACTAAATCTCCGCAGTCTGTGAGCAGTCGCCTGTGCGACGGCTTCCGTTCTCCTGGGAGGAGGATTGACGACGGAGACAGGGGAAGAAGATGAAGGTTGCAAGTCTGATTGAGATGAAGGAGATGACGCGGCGATCTCTTTCAAAGTTACAGGAGGCGACACAGTGGGAGAAGAGTCAACGGCATTTGGCAACGGGGCGGATTTTGAGAGCGATACTGTATCAAAAGATTTAGCGTATAATTAGAAAACTTTGAACTTCTATACCTGTAGAAAGATCAGCCGGATGCTGTGATTCTTGATTGACCTTGGTGAGTTTAAACTTCACCCGCCAATTTCTTCCTCCGCAGTTATCCCAGTACTCTTTTCCGGGTAGCGTATACCTCGCAACGAAATAGATAACTTTGGATGGGAGTGATGCCGGAGTATAGTCCGAGAGATTGATGCAGAACGCAAACCGATCCCACGAATCAGTATCTTTTAGCGACGAGCGCTGAGTTAAAAATGGCGAAGGGAAGTTGCCAACCCAATTAGCTTTAATCTCACTAACTGTACTCCAATCATCCACCGTGAATCGAACTGCAACATCCTTCTGGTAAGCTAAATTGCGCACGATAAAGGCGCCCTGGAGGTGCATTTTATCTTCGGGAACAGATGAAGATAGCGAGATAGACTCCAGAAGAATGTTAGTCCCCGGCTGAGGTGGAATGGATGATGGATCTGGGACTGGATAGCCAGTCATATCTAGCTCCAGCTTCATGTTTCCTTTTCGATACACCGAGGCTACGGCTGCTGCTGACGGAGGCCAGACAGAGCTGCTCGAAGATAGAGGAGAAGTACCGATCTTTGGAAAGGGGAAAGACGTATGAGTCGATCGGGCCATATTTCCTCGGTATGCATAATCCCAATCACTACCACGATCGGTCTCGGTCTCGGTCTCGGTTTCTTCCCCTTGGACTCGCGCAGTTAGCAATGATGCGGGCTTTGCGGATTTGTGGAAGATGCGGACCCGTTCAAGATGTGTAGGGAGTGAAGGAAAATGCACGCTTTTCGGGGTAGTCGGCGAGCTTGTTCCAGAACCAGGTGCGGATGCGGTAGCCGAGCTATTTGGAGAAGAAGGAGTTGAATTATCACCGAGCAATCCAAATCCTGGAGTGCTGGGCGCAGAACTCGCTCGCTGATGGCTCGAATGCGCATGATGAACTGCAAAATGTGGCCCATGAGGATGCGAATGGATGCTAGAAGTTGATGATGATGATTTAAGGGAACTTTTCAAAGGTCGTCCGTCGGATGCTAAGATGTGAGGAGAAGAAGTTGAACGTGTCGGCGATGGACGTAAAGGAAGTGGTAAGGCAGTTCCA